TTAATTGCACTGACCTTTTACTTCCAGTTTCTACAGAACAGAACTTAGGTTTATGATTTTTTTTTTTTCAGGCAGGACTGTAGAAGTGAAATTCAGCTTGCAGAGTGTGAGGCAATTTGATTTCACTTTTGGAGATGTAGGAAAACGTACCTGGGAATGAGTATGATAACTACTTGTTTTAAATTTAGTTTAAATAGATAAAGATGGTAAAAGGGAATACTTCTGATAGAGACTTTTTTTTAATTGCGTGGGGAATTTAGGTTGATCCACTTCTGTGATCCTTTTTTTTTTTCTTTTTAAGAGAAAAAGGGAGTGCGAGGACAGCTGACATAAGTCTTCGTTTTATATATTAAAAAAGAGGCTGAGCCCTGATCCCCTAAAATATCAGTTTAAAATAAACAAACTGGAGTTGCTGTTACTCTTTTATGTTGCTTCAAAATGCATTTCAGTTGAACCTGTGGACCAAATGGCTACTTCATAGATCTAATCAAACTTGATTAGTATAACTATGCTGACTTAAATAGCTGTAAATCTACGCTCAAGCAGCCTAGAAGCCCTTGATCTCTTCAAATCAAGTCTCTGCTTGTGATCTTTATCTTGCTGTAGTGCTTGGTAACAGTGGCTGCATCTGATTTAACTGCAATATTACCCCTGGCAATTGCATGTACTCTGAGTAGGTTATGGCCTCCACATTTTTGTCCAGAGCTTTCTGCACAGAAATGTGCTGTGAATGTGTGCAGTCAACACGTCCCTGACCCATCAGAATTACTGTGCATGTGTTGAACAGATGATCTGTGCAGTCAGTTGCTATATCCTGAGAGTATCTGTCTCAGTGTGCGTTTATCACTGACCCAGCATCTATGATTGTTTTCCAGATAAGTGTAGTAGTCTGGTGTGTCCTGAACGATTGTGTGTTTTTTTTTTTTTTTCCATAGGCGAAATATATGTGGATAAGATTTCCATGTAGCTCTGACCCAGGATGTCAGAAGTCCTGGATGAGAGTATCTGACATCATCTGGCTTCCTGTGGATGAGAAATTTGGGTAGAAAAGAGGGAATTTATTGGGAAACCTAGCAGTATGGTAGCCTGAGCATGGGGGTCAGTGAAATGGGTTCAGGTTCCGTGTGGGGAGGGAAACACGTGGGCAGGAGAACGTGAAAGCAGAGCACAGCCAGCACGGGATGGTAACCCGCTTAGCTATGCCTGTGTAATAGACAATCTGATGTGCATGTTTGACATGCATCTTTCAAATTCCTGACTAAACACATTCTCATTATATCAAATACAGTTGTTGCTTTCTGTAGTATGCGGGGTCTTGTTTGGAGCTCATATGACAGATTTAGGGAGCGCCTTGCTGAAGGAAGCCACTTGGAATGTGTGTTGTTAAAGGTCTCTGCAAGCGCTATAGTAATTCAAAGACTGCTTAGCTCAGGTTATTTGTATTGATTCATCCATTGTGGGTTGTTTTTTTTTTTTTAATGTTACAATGGTGAAGACAGTATGGAGAGGTTTTGGCTTGTGAGCCAGGAGCCTGCTGCCAGCTTCGTATTGCTCTGGTGTTCCTGTTTGTTGCAAGCAATTTCTTAAATCTCTCTTCTGTTGCTATCCCATAGGTTCATCTGAATCACCATGACTATCCATCCGCTTCTCTTGTGCCTGTCCCTCTCTATGGTTTGTATCTCGAGCAAACCCACCGAGAAAAAGGACCGGGTTCACCATGACGCACAGCTCAGCGACAAGGTCCATGATGACGCACAGAACTTTGACTATGACCACGATGCTTTCCTTGGTGCAGATGAGGCCAAAACCTTTGATCAGCTGACACCAGAGGAGAGCAAGGAGAGGCTTGGGTAAGGAAAAGATTTGAAACGGGAAGCTAGTTAGGAGAGAATTAATTCCTAGTTGACTTTACTGGCTTTTTGCAAAGCATTTAAAAGAATAACTGTCATTCTGGCATTCACTTATGTTCTCTTGCATGTCAGGTGGCTCTTTTGCAGAAATAGTCTAAACTCTGGAGTCTTTGACCTTTTGTTGGTAAGGCAGCAGTAGCTGAAACTTGGTAACCTATGCAAAGGATGGTCGTGAAATTAAGAAGCATATTTACATCTCTGTCTTCATCAGAGGCAATTGATCTCGGCATGCAAGGTCACCCTGAGTCATTTCAAACGGAGGCATTGCATGCTGAGCCTTGTTTCTAAGCATCTAATGAGCTCCCCCAAAGTACAAGGTATAAATCAAAATAAGTGTCTTTCACTTTGCCGTGCTTAAACTGTGCTAAATGCAGCTTGATGGTCTCTAGTTACCCCTTGCTGAATACAATCTGTCTCTTGCTTCAGGGAAGACAGAGGCCCATGGGATTGCTTGAATTCTCCTGCTATGTTACTCGTCCCAATTCTGAAGTAGCTGGTTGCTGTGCAGAGCACATGCATGGGTCACAAGTCAGTGAGAATAGCATAGCTCTTTAAAATTATCTTCTGTTTCATTACTTTCCCTCATGTTGCCCCCTTCAGACACCAGAATAGGGTGTTTATAGAATATGGTAAGTATTGGACTTAACAATTTCTGCTCTCCAGCATTACAGGGTGTGTCCTTTGTACATATGGCAGCAGCTGTGATCACAGTTGTTCACATTTGGCATAGGCTTAAACCTTAAGAGGTTCAGTCTGAAGAATTTTTTTGTCAAAGAGACTCCTGTGAGGGCCGCACTTCCCCACGTGCTAGCGTGGCCCTCCCTGACGAGTTAGATCCTTAATCTTAAAGCTGGAGTACTTCTTAAGTATCAGAAGAAATTTATTGGAGGACTTAACAATAGCCACGCTAACGTTGGTCCAAATTAGTCTTTGCCTTTTGGGCTTTGTATGTTTTTTCTATGTTGCCAGACACTAGACCGGTTGCATTAGCTTTCTAACTCTTATGCATGCTTTCTGCATGCTGCCTGTAGGGTAGTGTTTTGACACATGGGAAGGTCCCCGCTCCAGAGCAGTAAGGATGGATTTAGCTGGCATATGAAGTCTTCTATATGAGAACTGAACGTCTAGACTTCACCTTATAGCCAGTGGAGCAGTATTTCGTACAGGCAATGGAGTTCACGGTGTAAATTGGCTCTTTTGAGATGTGACACACTGATGAGGAAGGGATTTTGAATGGCTTATCCAAATGGAGGTGCTTAGACGAATCCCACCCTGAGTGATGTAAACCAAGCAGCAGAAGGCTTTGCCAAGTGGGGTGGTGTGGGGCTCACCTGAGCGCTTTCGCATTGATGTGGACCGTTCAGGCTGCCAATGTTGGGCAGGAGGTAGCCTTTCAGCTGCCACTATATTATTTAAGATAAAGGCTCTGCAAAGACAACATGTCTGCCATGATGAAGTTTTCACTGGAGGCCCTGAGATAGGCTTTTCCATTGGGGAAAGTTTATGCCGGGGACTTCATAAGCTGGGAAAGCTATTTCTGGATCTGTTGGACCACTGGATCCAGTGCAGTCTCACACAATGGCTGGTAAAAGATCTTGAGAGAAGTCTGGTGGACAAGTGCCAGTTGCACGACGCAGAGAGGAAGTTTTGTTCTCCCGAGTAGTTGTTCAGGTCTCATTTGCATGTTGCTCTCAGGGTGGAAGAGATGGGAAAGCCAACTGTAAGAGTCGGCAGGATTCCTGTGGGCAGGAGCGTGCTTGCCTCATGCTTGGAGGGAGCGCTGGGCTGCAGAGGGGCAGCATCACTGAGGGAGTGAAATCTGCCACCTGGTTAACTCTCTTGAAGACCAGTGCTGCCTGGCCTGTCTGGAGGTTAAGATGGTAAATTCTGGGGTCTGTCTGTAATGCTTTTATAAGAGCCTTATTGGTCTGTGAATTGCAAATTGAGGCAAACTTCTTTGTTGCTTTTGTGAGGGAGATGGTCTAGAGTACAATATCTTGATCTGCTCCCCCGAAGCATGAATGCAAGCAAGAGAAATGGCAACTCGAAACTGGCTGCAGTAGACAGAAATATGCACGAGATCCTTCCTTCTGCATTGTTTTTCTAACCTCTAGGCTTTGTCATGGCTTTACATTTTAATTTCATTGTTCTGCTAAGTTATCTACTGGAAAAAGCTGGCAGTGGAAGCTGGGCTAGGGTAAGAGTTTCCACTTGGATGTTTCAACGAGGCTGTTCCAAACTGCTCTCTGCCTTGACATAAAATGTTTTTTTTTTTTTTTTTTTGGTCAGAGACAATTACATCACACTTTCCTGAGTCTGAATGGGTTTGATAACTTTGTTATGAATGCATAATCGTGTAAATAGATTATTTCTTAATAGATGTGTTTTTCTATGCTGTCGAAAGAACATGGTTTTCTAGGCGAGAAGGTTCTTGCTCCAAAGCATACAGTGGTCCAGATCCAGTTTTTATGAGACGTCTCACTTCCCTGTGTGATAGTATTCACTGGAACAAAAAAAGCTCACGTGATATTGAAGACCTTTCCTATGGGGTTCCCAGGACTCTTCTGAACAGCTTGTTGCTCTGTATGTGTTGTTTTTCTTTAAAGGTTGCTGAATTTGGGGAATACTCTGCAAGCTTCCTGACAGTAGTGCTGAGCAAACGGAATCCTGTTGCTTCCTTAAAATGATATGAGTCAAAGCATTAAAGAGTGGGAAGGAAAAGCAGGGTCAACTACAGCTGCAAACAATCACAAAACATCTGGAGCATGGTGCCCCCCCGCCGTAACACCCCCAGCACACACACGCACTCGCGCTACTGCGGTACATGAGTGTGCCTCAGTATGTGACAAAGCTGCACTTCTGTTATAGCTCCTACAGGTTTCAGGGCTTACGCCCTGGGAAGTTTGCCTGCAAGCATCTGGTTACAGCACCAGGCTGCTGATATGCAAAGATTTAAAAGCTGCCTGGTTCTGTTCTGCAAGGGCGGCTCGCAGCAGGAGTTCCCACAGCAGTGCTGCAGCTTGTCCTGGGCTCCAGGTGGGGATAGAGTTTAACTTTCGGTTCACACTCTTCAACAGTGAAGCTAGTCTCTAATCAAATGTCTGAACTTCTTGCCCGAGTACTGCCCTATGTAGAAACTTGTCCTGGGAAAGTCACCCAGGCTTTACCAGAATCGCCTTTCTTCCCCAGTGCAAACTCCAATACTTCGTTGCAGTGTTCTGCCAATGCATCTTCCTGATAACCGCTAATGCAGCATGCTGATGCACGTACGATATCAGCGGCCTGTGCAGTAGTTGGTTTACAGCTGCTTGCTACTTAGCTGATAACTAATTTTTCATGCCTTTTGGCTGGAGGGTTGAGAGTAGTTTTGAGTGGGATCTGCTACTGCTGAAATCTTGTCATGTGGCTGCTCTGTTCTGCTGCATCTTTGTTTTGCTAATGCTGCCGGTTGTTTGCTGTCTTCCTTTTACAGAAAATGTTTTAAGACTGGCCACGATTCAAATTTTATAGTAGCTAAAGCATCTGAAAAAATTCTCGATGGTATCTAGTGCTTGAAGGCCCCTTTATGACAGAGTTACGGAAGGTTAATGCCCGCCTTTCCTGGGAAGCACAATGAATGAGAAGCCGTGTTCTTCAGGGGCAATACTACAGCGTTGAAGTCTTGAACCAGGCACGTTTTTAGTGATTTCCTGATGCTAAGCCCTTATGTTGAGGCTCAGCCTGCTGTTTAACAGTTTGCAAACACTGCGGTAGCCCTCAATCTGTGCCGTGGCTTGCAGCCATGTGCTGCTTTTGGCTACAAGCAGTTAAAATGGAGTCTGCCTGGGAGTGGCCGGCTGGATGAGGCAGCTCGGTGTTGCTGCCTGTGGGCCACTGTCCCCGTGGGCTCTCCTCCTCGGAGGTGCGGATCTGGATTGATACGAGCGCTACAAAGAACGGGCTTGTGATCTGCTGCTTCCTCAGATGAACGCTGAGGTTCAATCCGTTTGTGTCACTCACGGAGTTACCAGTATTGAATCTAAAGTGTTTTTGAGGTAACTTGTTACGCTTTCACATAGCAGCATTAGCATGGTGTTAGGAGACACCGCAAATGAGACTGTGTTGTCCCACAGGTTTGAAAGGAGAGAAATGGCACCATGGATTTGACTTTGCCAGATGTGACAAATGTTGCATGCTCTTATATGTAATGTTACTGTCTTACTCTTGAACGGAAATGCAATATGTGAAAGTTGAATTGCTTCTCTGAAACAGCTAGTATTAAAATGCAACTGTAAAATGATTCGGGCCTTTGAAGCGCCTGACGTAGCGTGGAAACTGCCATCTACCACAGGTAAAGTAAGATGTCAAGCTGAAGGACTTTTCTAGAAGTAAAGAAAATGCTTTTACCAGTCTCATCCCAGCTATGAGGGTTCTGGTTTTTGATTTTTTTTTTTAAAATTTTTTAATTTTTTTTAATGGGCACCCTTGGCACAGTTTTTGAAAGCAAACCAATTATGAAACAAAAACTGGAAACTAAATGCAGGGTTTACGGTGTCTGGACTATTTAATTTTGACTAGATTTCAGTTTGGTGTTTTGCTCTGTGTTGGTGTTCTGTTTCAGTCTGGGAATAATAATCCCATGGTTCTCTACTAAAACTGTCTTGAGAGTAAAGTTCTTCAAATTACATTCAGTAATCCTAAATTCAAATCTAGTAATAGAACCAGTTTCAGGGTGAACGTTCCTACTAAAAGGAGAGGAAAGGAAACCTGGCTGACAAAGCAAAACTCTCTGGAAAAACAACGGGCTGTCATCCCTGCTTTTAATTACCTGGTGTTGGTGGGGAGAAAACCTGATGGAGAATGGAAGTTCATGGTATGGAACTCAAAATGTTCTTTTAGGGAATACACTACACTTTACAAAGGCTGTGAATTATTAGAACTGAGATGCTAGGAGGAGATTGCGGTTGACTTTGGGGATGGCCGGGAGAGGAGTTTTGAGGCCGTCAGACCATTCTAGCTTCGCTTCTTGCTTTTGCCATAACTGAACATCTAATGCACAGAGTTACAAGTGGCAAGGACTTACATAGCACACTTTCACTGTAGTGTGCTGTGCAGCACTAATCTACAAATTGCGTACAGGAGACTCGCATACATCTGCGTATGTATCTTTGCATTCCTTCAAGTGGCTTTTTTTCACAGCTGCTGCTAAAAATAAAGAAGGCATGCAGCCTCACATCATGCTTTGTAAACCATGCATCTCTGATTTCTTGCTTTGTAAATTGGTGGCCATCGTGCTTGGGTGTTTTGATCTGACATCAATGTGGGGTGGCTTTTCATTGCTCTGTCTTAGTAGGTTCCTCGCTGCGTTACTTGGGCATGTAAACAAGCCAAAGCTGCATGTCTTGGTCTTTGTATTTCTTCATCAGTGCAGTCTTTCTGTTTTTACTGTAAGTATGTTAAAGTGTTTCACTCCCTTTGTGCTGTTGTGGTGGGAAGACAGGCAACTGGATATTTTTCTAGATCTCACAGCAGCAAAAAAATGCTTTGGCATAAGACGTGCTTCCTGAAGAATACAAAACCTGAATGGCCTAAGAGTGAGCAGGTCAGTGTTTCAGCAGCTTTTGACTCAACTGTGCACTGCTTTTGAACTGCTTTGCAGAAAAGAAACGTTGGTCCCCGTGTCTGGAACGGGGGGGACCAATAGGCACACAGACTACCAAGTTGGAAGTAGTTTGCTGAATGTGACACAGTAGTGCTGGAACCTGATCATAAGCAAGCTGACCTGTTCACTCTTGCATAAAGGAATAGTATGCCCCCAGTTCAAATGCTCTGCTTTGCTGAGTAGAAATAGCGCCTTATTTCCCTTAACTTGTGCTGGATTTTTCTGCATTTTCTACAGAAAGATTGTAAGTAAAATAGATGAAGACAAAGACGGGTTTGTAACTGTGGAAGAGCTCAAAGACTGGATTAAATTTGCACAAAAGCGCTGGATATACGAGGATGTAGAGCGCCAGTGGAAAGGGCACGACCTCAATGAGGACGGCCTCATTTCCTGGGAAGAGTATAAAAATGCCACCTACGGCTACATCTTAGGTAGGTCTCTACTCTTGGGATAAAAGCTTTGCAGAGCTGGCACTTGAAACTTGCTGTTTTGTTTTGTAGAATGATTGTAGATAAGATAGACACGGATAAGGATGGGTTTGTGACGGAGGGGGAGCTGAAAGCCTGGATTAAGAAGGCCCAGAAGAAGTACGTGTATGACAGTGTTGAACGCCAGTGGCAGGACTTTGACATGAATCAAGATGGATTTATCTCCTGGGATGAGTACAGAAACGTGACATATGGCACTTACCTCGGTAAGGGGCAAGTGGTCAAATCTGGTGGTGGTCTTTAATCAATAAAGCAGAAGTGTGATGGAACAGAGTAAGAGCTCTCAACTCATCCCAAAAGTCCTGGCCTGAAAAATCTGCTCCAATTACCTTCTCGTGGTACATTAGCTTGGTTTGGTGCCTAGTACACTCTGCACCTCCAATGATTTCTCTCCTCTTCCTCCTCCCCAACCACGTGCTCTGCTACACAAGTGGAATTTAACTTTTGTTGGCCTTAATGAAGGACAAACTAAGGGAAAAAACGGAGTAACCGTGTGGAAAAACCAAGGTGAAGTTCATAATGAACGTGCACTTTTGTAACTCTGCTTTATTGATGCATTAAATTGTGAAATTCAGCTCAAAATTCAATCTGAGCAGTAATTTATTGGTTTAATTGAAGGCATATGGGGTAACTTTTGTCTTCTAGCTTTTGAATCTCAAGCTACGGGTGGCATTTAGTACCTGCAAAAACAAGCCCACCAGCCCGTGGCTGTAGAAGCCAGGTGTTTCTGGGTATCTGCACTCCTGAATCTGCCAAGATCCCTAGAAAAGAGAAGCTTGCTTTAATCGTTTTCTGAAGCTCTGCGTGAGTGAGCGTGAGCCCCCGCTCAGTTTCTGCACTTGTCCTGGCTCTAGCTTTAGACTACAGAGCTTGTACATTTTGGCAAATGAGACAGAAGCCAGAAGCTCTGGAGAGAGGGGGGGCTGGTAGCAGCTGGTAGGACCTGCTGCTTACTGCCACTCTTCTGGAGCCTGTGCCGACTTAAAAACACCATGAGGGGTTAGGTAGGAAGCAGCTCTTCTGGGGTTAAGATATTGGAAAATACCAGTTCCTCTGCCAGTTGTTCCCGTGTCCTGGAATGCATACATATATGGTATGATGAGCCACATCTTGAAAGCATGAAATAAAGTATAATTTACTAAATATTTCCAAAGATAGTAAAATGCTCTGCAGAATGTATGGAGCATGTTGCCTCTATTTTCTGGCTAATCCATCTTCCCTGGAGCTGTTTCTGCAGCTTCTTTTGAACCAGTCGGAGCTCCAAAGTTTCCTCTGCTGGTGGCAGGATAAAATCAGCCATCCTGTGACTTTATTACGGTTCGAAACAAATCTTCTATGTAATTGAAAAAGGAAAGCTAATTTCTTACTGAGATCCAAAGAACTTCTAGCCTTGGAAAAATCTGATATCCGTACTTAAAAATTCAAGATTAAAGGGGAGAGAAGAGGTCATACTGAAGACTTTTATGACAGTTTTTGAAGTCCGTGCATTTCGATTTATGACCTGCAGGTGTAGGATATTTTAAAAAAGGAAAAAAAAAAAAAAAAAAAAGTCCTGATGAGAAAAATGTAATGCACCCGCAATGTTTCTAAAGCCTAATTCGTAACAGACTGGAGTGCCTGGACCCCATGACGGATGATATGCCGTAAAGATCTCATCGACGTGAGCTTGCGACTGGCGCTTGACTCCGAGTGCCCTTGGCAGATACTGATAAAACCTATTATAGTGCAGCGCACTGCTGCACGTTACTTCTCCATAGTTTTGTTCTTACTAAATACTTAAGTATTGAAATTACCCTGGTCTTCCTCGCAGCTACCCTCCCTGCTGGACTCTACCTGGCAGAGCCGTGCATGTGTAATGGCTTGGCTTCCTATTTGTGTTTAAACAGGAATTACTTTTCCACAGTACGTTTCTGCTGAAATAGTCTCGTCTCTTGTAAGAGACTCTCGCCTCCCTTCTCTCTTCTCCCCCCTCTGGCACGAACGACACTGGAAATGCCTCTCAAGAGTTTGACGCGTAGCCAAGAAACATGCAGAGCCCTTAATCTAGTTAAGAACATCCATCTCTTGTAGTGTGGGAGCTGAGACACCGTCCTCTCTTGCTGTGGCTCTCTGGTTTATTGGCTGGCTTCGTTATTTAGTATTTAAAAAATGCTTGCCTTTTGTCATCAACATGAAATGCTGTTTTTAAACTCCAGGCCTGTATTAGCCACTAGCTGTGCTGAGTGCTGTACATGAAGCACTTTGTATTTCAGTGTGCATCGGCTCAGCGCTGTTGCTAAAGCCTGTTTCTGTGGATCTGAACTCTGCTTTCCGCAGGGAACTGTGTGCTATATTAAGTGATAGGTACCAAGAGCTTATTCTTGAGGCAGTAGTCCCTTTAAAACCTTCTTAAAATAAGAATATAATACCGTAGTTCTGTTCCTCAGTACCATCGGATTCACTTGTCGCTGATCTATTCTGAAACCAGAACCCAAAAATCACTGTGTTATACTCCTGAACAATATGATGAAGTTATAAAATCGTCAGGGCTTACGGCTTTGGTTTCTCATAGCTTCTAAAAGGCCTTTCCTTTAGCCACGTAGATTCCCGAGTTATTTCCCTAAATATACCTTATCGAAGATCTCGCTTATGTCATCGAGGCCAGAGCCTGTAAAATGCAAGTGCTTTTGGGTCTATAATTGAAACCTCTTTTGGGGGAAGAGGGGCAAACCTCTTTCTCACGCAGCCCAGCAGTGAATATTCTGCCAATGTGCAGACGTTCCTATTAAAGCCCTTGCATCCTCCCTGTTGTATGTTTAAGCAAGCTAACTATTATTTTAACAGTTAAATTAAAAAAGGAAAATAGTTAAGCATAGTTAAATATTTAAATTGCTTAACAATTCTGTGCTATTTGCCACCTTTTTACTTTCATTAAACTGAATAAAGCTATTCAGCTTTATATGTAGCAGCCAACTTGAAGAATCACCGGTATCAAAAGGACTGGCTTTTAATTTGTGCGACTTGCTCCTTTTGCTGTGATTCGTGCAAAATGAAGCTCATGTTCAGGTGATACAGTCTAATCTGGAAAGGACTTCTGTGTGCTGCTGGGGACAGTGAACTTACAGGACGCTCATCTTTTAAAGATGAAAGTTCAGTAATAGCATAGGAAATTATAGGATTAATTGTGCCTTACAGGTGACTTAAAATCTTCTTCCTGCCTTATATTTAATAGTTGGCTAGCATCACGGCTTGTGTATAGCTGCTTAATCCTGTGCCTTTTGTCCTAGATGTAAAAAGAGAAGGGAGAGAGCTTTTTTTTTTTTTTTTTTTAAA